GAGGAGGAGGTGGATGTGGAGTAGGAGGTTGAGGAGGCGGTTACTGTGGCGGTGTAGGTGGAAGCGGTGGTTGAGGAGGAGGAGGTAGCCAACACTGTTTTTTATTTGTTTTTGTTTTTTTGTTTTTAATTGGGGTAGCCCCCAAAATATTGGGACATATAAAAAAAGAAAACAAAGAATAAGTGCACTTGAGTATAACAATGGCTGGGTGAGACTGGTATAAATGTCTATTATGCACAAGGTACAGACAAGTCTGGTGGGATCCATGCCTGGTTCATTTTATTAAACGTGAGCCTGTCCACGTTGGCTGTGGACAGGTGGCTGCGCTTGTCTGTGATAAAGCCCCCTGCCGTGCTAAACACACGTTCAGACAATACACTGGCTGCAGGGCAGGCCAGCACCTCCAAGGCATAAAGGGCAAGCTCAGGCCATGTGCCCAATTTGGAGACCCAGAAGTTGAATAGGGCAGACCCATCAGTCAGTACGTGTAGGCGTGTGCACTTGTACTGTTCCACCATGTTGCTGAAATGCTGCCTCCTGCTAAGAAGTTCCACATCAGCTGGTGGTGCTGGTTGTTGTGGCTTGCTGACAAAGCTTTTCCACATTTTGTCCATTCTAACCCTGCCTTCTGAGGTGCAGGCGGTGCCCCAGCTGCGTTGGCGACCTCTTCCTCCTTCTTTGCCCTCGCCTTGTGCTTCCACTGAGCCCCCAGTGTCAGTTTGGAATGCCCTCAGCAGCGCGTCTACCAGCGTGCGCTTGTCGCGTATCTTCTGATCATGCTCCAGTGAGGGAATTAAGGATGGCACGTTGTCCTTGTAACAGGGATCCAGCAGGGTGGCCACCCAGTAATCAGCACAAGTTAGAATGTGGGCAACTCGGCAGTCGTTGCGCAGGCACTGCAGCATGTAGTCGCTCATGTGTGCCAGGCTGCCCAGAGGCAAGGACAAGCTGTCCTCTGTGCGAGGTGTATCGTCTGTGTCCTCTGTATCCCCCAGCCATGCTCCAGTGATGCTCACGAGCTGTATTGGTTGCCACCCTGGATGCTACCCTGCTGTGAACACGGTTCCTCCTCCTCATCCTCCAGAACTGTGCTTTGGCTGGACAATTGTGTACCTGGCCTATGCTGGTGCAGGAACCCACCCTCCGAGCCACTTGTGAATGGACTGGCCTGATAGCAATGGAAATGACCCCTCTTCCTCCTGTACCACATCCTCTTCCATCATCGCCCGAAGCGTTTTTTCAAGGAGACATAGAAGCGGGATAGTAAAGCTGAAAACGGCGTCAGCGGCACTGACCATGTTGGTGGAGTACTCGAAACAGTGCAACATGGCACACAGGTCTCACATGGAGGCCCACCCAGTCTCTCCAGCATGTGCAAGGTGGAGTTCCACCATGTGGGCACGTCGCATATGAGGTGGTGAGCGGGAAGGCCAAAGTTACTGTGGGACAGCCACCGCCATCAGGTTTTTAAAACTGTCCGTCTCCACCAGACTGAATGACAGCATTTCAAAGGCCAGGAATTTTGAAATACTGGCATTCAGGTCCAGGGATCGCGGGTGGTTAGGGGCGTACTTCCTCTTTCTCTCCAGTGTTTGGGAGATGGACAGCTCAACGCTTCCATGGGACAGTGTGGAGATGCTTGTGGACGGTGACGGATGTGGTGGCGTTGCTGCCACATCCTCTGTTTGCTGGGTGGCAGGTGCCACTGTCACTCCAGAGATGGAGGAAAAGGCTGAGACAGCAGCAGAAGAGGAAGCAGGAGGAGCCTGAGACCTTTCTTGGTTTTTGGTGCTTACTCCACTGCAGCTTGTGCTATGCATTTAGATGCCTGGTCATGCAGGTTGTGCTCAGGTTTAGAATGTTTATGCCTTGCTTCAGGCTCTGATTGCACAGCGTGCAAACCACTCGTGTCTTGTCGTCAGCACATTGTCTGAAGAACCCCCAAGCCAGGGAACTCCTTGGAGCTGGCTTTGGTGTGCTCAGTCCCTGGGTGCGGTGGACAGTAGCAGGTGTACTGTGTAGGGGACGGCCGCTGTGCTTTTACACCCTGCTCCTTCTTATGCTGTGCTGGTGCCTCTGTGCGACCACCGCTTCTTCCTCCAAACTGCACACGTCACTTTCATGACCTTGATTCCATGTGGGGTCTAGGACCTCATCATTCTCCACATCAACTTTCACCCACTCATCAACCCTGCCCTCCTTGCCGGTCTGCACACTGCAGAAAGCCACAGCAGTTGGCACCTGTGTTTCGTCATCATCAGAGACGTGCTGCAGTGGTCCTCGCATGTCCACATCCTGACACATAAGTGGTTGTGCATCAGTGCACTCAATCTCTTCCACTTCTGGGCCCACGGAAACCCCGCCAGCACAGTCATCAAAAAGAGACTGCAACATGACTTGTGGCTCAGACTGCTTGGCTGATTTGCAAGGGGCTGAGGTAAAAGACAAATGGCCATGGGCTGCAGGTGCCAACTCAGAGCTTTCAGCAGGGGACCGGGTGGGAGACAATGTGAAGGAACTGGAGGCACTGTCAGGGGTACTTTCCCTTTAAGGGAAGCCAGTTCTTGCCTTACACCCTGCAAAGCTTGGGTAGGTTGAGAGACTTGCTGGGTCAAGGCTGCTAGGGTTTGCTTCAACTCCGCAGACTCCATGGTCAGATTGGTATGTCATGATCTTACCTTGAGATGGGAGTCAACACGCAGAGTTAAAGCACCCTTTGCAATTATACACAGGCCAAGGGGACTCAAGGTAGAAATCCCCAAGGCTGTGAACCAGTGCACTGGGGCTGTTTTTTTTTAAATTGAGGTGTGTATGTTGTTGTATTCTGCTTGTGTTATTTATGAGTGCTGCCGTTGCTTCGTAGCATTATATTTATTCGTACAAGGGCTGTTATATTGTATATGTACATGAGTTTGGTGGCATGTGCATGTGAGGGGCTGCTTATGGTATTGCTTGTGAGAGGCTGCTTGTGGGGTTGAATGCGTGTATGTGGATTGTCAGTGGTGTTGTGCTTGTCGGGACTGTTTGTATGTGGTCAATTTGTATTATTTGTATTTGCAGCTCTGTGTATATTAAACGTTGTGCGTGACTTCCCTGGGGTCCATTGCGGACAAGGCTGGCAGGAGCTATGACAGCTGCTGAGGGCGGAAATAAAAAGTGCTGCAAAGCGTAATTTCAGAATTGTCTCTCACCACCGGCAATCACAGCTTGGTTTGGCTCTGGCAGCCTTGAGTGCCGTGAAAAGGCACACGTGCCATAGGTTCCTGACCCCTCGACTAGGCTATGCTTACCTAGTAGTCTACTCTTATAGGGCAGAAACCCCTTTGCCTCCCTCCAATCTAACCTGAAGGACTCTTGTTTGTCCACTAAATTAATTTAAATCTAGATATAGCAGGAGTGTAACTGGCTGCTGCATTTGCAGTACAGACAGGCACTGTGTATGCAGGCTGAGTAGCTTTGCCCAGCATTGAAAGTATGCAGACAAAAAAAAAGTCTCAGTGGCTCTTTCAAAACCAGAAAGAAAAGGCACAAACTGAGCCTCCTATGAGAGTGACTTTGCTTACCAGGTCTCACACAGAATATTTCATGTATGGCAATTGAAATCAATGACTGAGGCTAGCAGCAGTGTGTTTTTGTCAAAGCTAAGTCAAGGTTTAAAAAAAAAAAAAAAAAAAGAAAGAACCTTCCTTTGAAAAATAAATGAATAAATATATATTCACTAGAGGCAATAGCATACATTAAGCAATATGACATAATAGGCATAACTGAAACATGGTGGGACGAGACACATGACTGGGCAGTTAACTTAAATGGGTACATGTTATTTAGGAAGGATAGGAAAAACAAGGAGGGTGGTGGGGTATGTCAACCATGAGTTAAAGCCAAATCTTAAGCAAGTGGAATGTGATGAGGAAAATGTGGCAGCTTTATGAGTAAAAATCTGCTTTTAATCTTTTTCTGTTTTTAATCTTTCAAGATTCTTTTCTTTCAGTAAGTGTTCCGTAGGATTGGAGGAACAGATGCGGTTTCTAGATTCAAAAAGGGTCCAAGGGGGCGCATAGAGCGAGTGCTCCGCACCCCGGAGCTCAATAAAGCACTTTAATCAGCTACAGCCCCGACTTTGGAGCCACAAATCTTGCCCTGATCACCCCATTACTGCAGCCGGATGTCAAGCCGCAGACCACCTGTAAAATCTGGTTTAGAATGGTGTTTATGTAGAATCCTCTTAATTTCTTCTTGTCTTCAGTTGATTGATATATATATACGTCTTTTGTATATATATTCTTGGGCCAAATGCTCGCCACAATAATATATGTCTATATTATTGAAAAGTAGTAATACGCAATCTGACTTACAGTTTCTTCAGATTTATTCTTAGTTACAGATACATAATAAAACATAATAAATTATGTTACAGGATAATGGACATTCAGCAGCAGATGGTAATTGCTGGACTTCTTTTGCATCCTTACATCTTTACATCTAGAGAGAGCCAGAGCCAAGACAGAGCGACCTCGTGTCCCTCTGTTACTATAAAGATGTGCTAATACTAACGTCAGCATATAACTCTAGCCATATAAGGACAAAACCCCCACATCCACATTCCAGAGTTCTCGGACAAAGAAAGCCTTGTTACTTATTGATACCATCTGTTACTTATGTCAATCCACACATCCATATATATAATCAATAGAAACATAGAAAATGCAATATTCTACACCACCCAAGAAAAGAGGCACCAACGAAGCTCTGTCAGTGGTGGACATGTTTGCAGCACAGAGGCCTGCTGCACGTGCTGCGCCCACGAACACGAGCCCTAGCACAACCCCACGGACCCCCTCCGGACACAAGACTGCCCACCGGAGGCATCTTCCAGCGCTATCCTGCAATCCCTTGCGGATGTCAAAGGCTACTTGGCCGAAGAAATCAAGAGATCAGCCAAGGAATTTAAAGCGGAAATTACCGCCATAGGGGCTCGAACCACCCGGATTGAGCTACAAATGGGCAGCGTGGTGCAGGCTCACAATCGAGCAGTAAACCTCACAAACACACTCCTCACAAGGGTTACAGATCTGGAATTGGAGCTCGAGGATGTCTCCAACCGCTCAAGGAGAAATAACCTGCGCATTCGCGGCCTGCCGGAATCGGTTGGGGAAGCGGACCTTGAAGAGACTCTAGTCACCTGTTTTAAGCAGAGCCTCCCAGACATCCCAGAACATCTTGCGTTCCAGAGGGCCGAAGAATAGCCCCCCTCCCCCCGCGATGTAATTATGCAGTGGCACTATTACAAGACCAAGGAGGCCATAATGCGCCACAGCAGGGCGACGGGCTACAACCATGAAGGGACTAGCCTCCAAATATACCAAGACGTGGCACCGGCCACACTCCTTTGGAGAAAGGAGTGGAAGCCGGTCACAGATTTGTTGAGAAACAACGGATTGCACTTTCCTTGGGGATACCCGTTCAAGATACTGGTCTTTAAAGCCCTCGAACCATCGGTGCTACTCCCGTCGACGGACATACCCACATTACTTAAAGACTTGGGCTTGGACCTGCCGGCGGACTTCCAAACCCCACATTCCCAAGCAGGGACACTTGCCATGCTTGTTGAGAACGCTGAAGCACAAGATCTCCAGCGGGACTGACTCTGGGACAGTGAAAACACGAGGACTAAGACACAGATCACGCGCAGGCCCTTGCTGGCTCTTGAACGCTTTGAAGCCACATAAGTATTTATATGAGCATCATAGTGCATTGTTTTCACTTAAATATGGTCACTGATAATATGTTCACTGATAGCATTAGAAAGGGTGATGAAAATATAGCATAGATTGCTGTTGGATGGGGGTGGGGGGAGGAATGGGGGGGATGGAGAGGTATTGTGTTTATTGGGACGCTCTGGGGTGGGAGGGAAAAAACGCAGATGCAAACACTGCAGACAACCGTACGGCCAAGCCTGATACGGCCAGCGTGGCGGGAAACCCAGGGAATCCCAAAAGGGCGGGAAACGGGCCAATGGTGAGGGACTGCTATATTTTAACAGTGTCTTGAATGTATAACCTGCCCCACTGCCTAAGGGAGGTGCGGAGATGCCCCTGATGTGGGCGTGAAAACCGGACGCCTCCCCCTCACACATGGCGCCATAGAACACGCGGCTGCCCTGGCAGCGACAGCGCCATCTTTTTCTGTGAGACCGCACACTGGGCACATAGGCCCTGGTGCGGCCTCACGCTACTATATGGCCGCCCAAACCCCATTGTGCAGATAGGGCAACTTAACACAGCCTACCAGGGCCCTCCACACACGTGGGCAGTCTTAAACACTGCCATAGTGCCATGTGGATCCCCTTGCGGAACGGGCTCTAAGGGTTGGGGTTTATATTTTTCACTCCACTTGAGCATTGCCGGGGTGCTCTTTGGCTGTGTTTCCCCCCCGTTTGAGGAGAATCCCTCAGTGCGGAGGTGGCCCACCCCCAGAGCTCCTGGCATAGAATAAGACCCGGAACATACTTGTATATTGTTGTTTTGTTATAATGTTACGTATTGTGACCTTTATGGGCAAAGCAACACAGTCCTGTAGGGTAACAGGTAAAGAACAGTCTCTTTTGCGAAAAAGGTGTGGTTTATTTACATTGTGCGCAAAAATACATGCAGAAATCAGTTTGTTTAAAACTGCAGCAAAACAGAAAGGAAAGTCTACAAACAAAATCCTAGCTCAAATTCGAGCACTTACTAAACATAAAGTAATGTCCCTTACTAAACCAGGCTAATAATCTACATAAATCAACAAAATAAACATTGGTTTCACCAACCTTTAGCACTTTTTCTGGTGCTGCTCTGCACAGACCTGCTCTCTCTGCAGGTCAGATTGTATCTCTCCTTTCTGCTCTGAGACCTGCTAATTAAAGCCTCAGCAGTTGCTAATTGGGCAGGTGAATGAGTACAGGCTATGGAGGATTCTGTGTCCTAAATACCTTCCTTCTATTACCCTCCCATAGACTCTGTCACATATCCTCCCCGCCAGCTTAGACCCATCGGTCGTAGTGACCTTTGACCACAAACAATGGACTCTGGATAAACCATCTGCATTCCCCTGGTCTTTACCAGCTTAATGCTCCATAGAGAAGTTATATGGCTGAAGACTAAGGAACCACCTAGTTACTCTGGCATTTGTTTCCTTGTTTTGTCTCATCCACGTCAAGGGCTCAGGATCTGTGACAAGTTTGAACCTTCTCCCCAATAGATAATACATAAGTGTTTCTAGTGCCTATTTTATGGCCAAACATTCTTTCTCAACCACTGAGTATCTCTGTTCATGGGGATTAAGCTTTTTGCTCAGGTACATAATGGGATGTTCTTCTCCTCTGTGTACTTGAGAAAGAACCGCTGCTAGGCCCACATCAGACGCATCTGTCTGTACCAAAAATTATTTCGTAAAATATGGGGCAACCAAAATTGGGTCAGCACACAAAACCTCCTTCAGGGTACTAAATGCCTTCTCTACCTTGGGAGTCCACTTTATCATAACAGGGCCTTTTGCCTTAGTTAGCTCTGTCAACGGGTTTGCGATCGTAGCAAAGTTAGGTATGACTCTACGGTAGTAGCCCACTAAGCCTAGAAATGCCCTGACTTGTTTCTTTGTCACAGGACGTGGCCAATCCCAAATAGCATCTACCTTAATTTTCTGTGGTTTCAGGAGACCCCTCCCAGTAGTGTAGCCCAAATACTTAGCCTCTTCCAAACCTATCGTACCTTTGGATGGATTGGCAGTTAGACCTGCATCTCGTATAGACTTTATTACTGCCTGAACTCGGGGAAGGTGTGTTTCACAATCTGTGCAGTATATAACCACATCATCAAGGTAGGCAGCCGGGTATTCACTATGTTGTCTAAGGATTCTATCCATCATTCTTTGGAAGGTGGCAGGTGCACCATGCAACCCAAAAGGTAAGACTTTATAGTGAAATAAACCTTCTGGTGTGGAAAAAGCAGTTTGCCAATAATCTATAGTCAGATCTAATGTAGTCAGATATCTGGATCATCCTAATCTCTATATTAGGTCATCAACCCTAGGCATGGGATAAGAATCACATTTTGATATCTCTTTTAATTTTCTGAAATCATTACAGAATCTGATTTCTCCATTTGGCTTGGGTACCAACACTATAGGATTACTCCATTCACTTTGTGATTACTCGATAACCCCTAGCTCAAGCATCTTTTGGACCTCTGCTTTAATGGCTTCTTTTCTGGCCTCTGGGATTTGGTAGGGTTTTAAGTTAACCCTTTTTCCAGGTTCCGTAATTATGTCATGTTCAATAACATGAGTCTTTCCTGGTACTGGAGCACACATCCCGATTTCTAGCAACAAACTCTCGGACCTCATTTTTCTGATGAGGTGCTAGAGTGTCAGCAATGTTAACCTCTGGTACTTTGTCTACTTTGGTCTGAGGAACTTTTTCTGTCATGGCCATCAAGACCTCTCTATCTGTCCAGGGTTTAAGTAAATTTATATGGTATATTTGTCTGTGCTTTCTTCTATATTTGTTCGGGCTTTCTTTACCTCATTGACTCATTCAATGATCTCGTATGGGCCATGCCAGTTTGCAAGGAATTTACTTTCTACTGTGGGGATTAGTACCATAACCCTGTCTCCTGTGGGGATTAGTACCATAACCCTGTCTAGAATTCCTGTTATAACTAGCTTTCTGGGCTTCCTGTGGTCTCTCCATATTTTCCCTGACAATTGGCATTATGGCCTCAATGCGATCCTGCATTTGTGCCACATGTTCAATAACACTCCAATGGGGCGTGTGTTCCTGTTCCCATGTTTTCTTTGCAACATCAAGGAGACCTCTAGGATGTCTACCATATAACAATTCAAAAGGTGAGAACCCTGTGGAAGCTTGGGGGACTTCTCTGATAGCAAACATTAGATATGGGAGAAAACAATCCTAATTCTTACCATCTTTATCAATTACCTTACCGAGCATTGCTTTCAAGGTTTTATTAAATCTTTCCACAGTTTGTGGGTGATATACTGACGTTTTCAATTGTCTAATCTTCAACAAGTTACATAGCTCTTTCATCACTCGTGACATAAAAGGGGTACCTTGGTCTGTAAGTACTTCTCTAGGTATTCCAACCTGGCTGAATATAAACATTAACTCTCTGGCAATGGTTTTAGCTGAGGTATTTCTTAAAGGTATAGTTTCGGGATAGCGAGTAGCATAATCTAGTACTACCAAAATATATTGGTGCCCCCTAGTGGATTTAAGTAAAGGACCAACCAGGTCCATAGCAATTCTTTCAAATGGGACTTCTTAGATGGGAAGAGGAATGAGGGGATTACAGAAAGCTTGGAATGGAGCCTTTCTTTGGCATTCTGGGCATGACTTGCAAAATCGCTCTATAGCAGAGTAGATTCCTGGCCAGTAAAATCTTCTTAGTACTCTCTGTGGTGTTTTACCAAATTCTATAAATTATTATGTACGCATACACATATAAACTCTGGTCCGTCTACTTTAACAAATATTTATTCAGAGACAAAACAACAACAACATACAAATAATGACACACAATCTAACTAACTATACCAACAACAACAACAGCAACAACAACCTAACTAACAATAACAACTACATCTTATAAAATCCCACTCACAGTTCACCATGATGGAAATTAGGCCATGTCTGCTTAAAGGACTGCTCAGTAGCACAGCCAAGAAGGAACAGAGAGGAATGGAGATAGGGGGAAGTGGTTATCTCTTTCCTGACTAGTAAAGGTATTGAATTACCAATTAACATTTCAAAAGGGTAAAGCTTATCCCACTGTAAGAGCTTGGTCACATGATCCCTGGTCACCATATTAGTTTGATGACAGAATGTCACCACATTCCCTCACTTTTTTTTCTCTTATGTTGAGCACATTTAAAAGTGAGAGAATATAGTCAAACAGGGGTTGCATCACCCCACATTCCCCCAATTTCAATTGTTTTCAGTTGTTCCGTTTTTAAATTAACCACTGCCCAAGTGGGTTGGTAAGAACCCTGGTAGTTGTTCATTAACCCCTTAAGACCGCAGGGCGTACTATTACGTCCTCTAATAGGCGGCTCTAAACGCCGCCGGGCGTAATAGTACGCCCTCCGGTCTTTCTGTACTTACCCGGTCGCCGGCGGTCCCACGCCGGCGATCGCGGTGGGGGGGACTCCCAGGGAGCCCCCCGCGGCACGACCGTCCTCCAGGAAG